GAGAGATTGTGGAATCTTATATTATTTTGGGTATTATTATACATGAGCTAACTCAGGTTAGCATATCATATGCAGTGCGTAGTTTCCACATGTCTACAGCATCTATTAAGAATCTACATTTCCATGTTTATTTGAAATAATTTTCTAACAATTTTTAAATGCTGCCATTATCCAAGACTATTACGTACCAACAAGGGATTAAATTCTAATACTCAGAAACTATAAGAAGGTTTGTTACGTTATATAGAATGAATGTCTAACATTTCCGTGATTCACCTATCGATATCCTGGGTTTGAGGGAGTTGTTATGAATGATTTATCATGCCTGACCCCTTCTGATTTTACTTATGTTTTTAATGTTTGTTAATTCTCTCAGAGGACTGAGATACCAATTTATATGCCATTTTACATCTTCAGAAGATGAAAAATTTATAGACTTGGGTATTTCTTTTATATGCTTTTAGATAATCATTCTTTATGCCCAAGATTGAGATTCTCAAACTATTAAAAAATGAAGGGGGTTCTCTTTTAATAGTCATTTAATGTTCCATGATGATGAACTACTCCTAATTTTAACATTAGCACTTTTATATTTTTACCAGCATTTCACCCTAATCAAATGAGGTACTACAACACAAAGTTTAGCCTGTGGCATAATAGAAGACAGGTGGCCTGTCATTGAGAATCATGATCTTATATTCTCTCTTTCCTCTAAAGAATATGCTTTTGGGGGGGATGGGTCTCAGATTTTGACACACATCTCTAGTTCAACTTCATTACACTCCAACAACAACAAAATATTTAAAATTTAACTTTATATGCATTCCACTCAATTTTTAAATATATAGTAATAGAATTAATACTTGGTAAAAAGATCTTTTTATTGTCTTTCCCTGACTTAACAAGTTTATTAATATGAAGAACTTTCTCATACTTGTTTATTATTTTACTAGTGATCCGTGCACAAAATTCATGCATGGAGGGGGTGTGTCCCACAGCCTGGCCTGCACCCTCTCCAATCTAGGACACCCACAGGGATTGGGCCTAAACCGGCAGTTGGACATGCCTCTCGCAATCCAGGGCTGCTGGCTCCTAACCACTCACCTGCCTGCCTATCTGATCACCCCTAAACACTCTGCCTGCCGACCTGCTCACCCTCAACCCCCCCTGCCAGCCTGATTGCCCCCAACTGCCCTCCCCTCCTGGCCTGATTGTCCCTAACTGCCTCTGCCTCGGCCCTGCCACCATAGCTTTGTCTGGAAGGATGTACGGAAGGTCTCCCAGTCTTTTTTTAGTATAGATTTGTTCCATATATTGGTGCTTTGGTTTCTAATGTCATTCTGTTCTTACTATATTATTTCTATACATTTCCATTTCGTTCTTCAATTTAGAAGCATAAAAATGATAGCCAATGCATCAAATATTCATATGCTTAATAGGAATGAGCAATCAAGGCTAGAAACCTCAGTGTTTAATACTGTTCTCAAAACTCAGTTTTTACATGTATTGTAGCTTCAATGATTAAAGAGAGTAAGTATAATAAGTATATTAAAAAAGGATAAGTGAACCAATATGTTTTTAAAAAATATATATATATGTCTGTGCATTGCATGGCAGAGTATTGCTAAAATTTACCTAAATAAACTCTTGTGATGTTTTTAGATGTTATGGCAATGCTTTGGCTAGACTTGGATTTGAATCTCATCATGACCAAGGTTCTAATAGTTATGATTTTTTTAAATACACTATATTGTATTTAGGAAGTTAAAACTCATTGTCCTGGTTATATTTGTGCCAAGTTTGTGTGAAACTGTACTATACTATTATGAAAAAGGTAAACTTTATATGTACTTATCTTTTGAAAAGTATTATAGCATTGTGTGCATTAAAAAAAAAAAAGTAACTTGTGGCACTTTGGAAAAGGAATGTGCAATTAGAAAAGTTTGTGCTATTGAAAATTGTTTTAATTGCCAGGAATTGCCTGTATCAGGCTTTAAATTCAAAACCAAAACCAATTTTAAGACTAGCACTTTTTTCCCACTGGTAGTTCCTCTTTTTCTAATTATGTGGGACATTTCATTTAAACCATTCTTTGCAGTGAGATCTAACTTTCCTCCTTCATCCTAACCTCAAAATCCTTTCATTTAGGAGACATTTAAAATTAATCCGATGGTAATTAGCAAAGCATTTTAAGTATCATGGCTATTTAATCTTGTGCCTCTTGTTAGTAAGTTCCTGAAATATAATATTCAAACATTTTAATTGGTCATAACCAATTAAGAAAGTTGATGTCCATAAAATTGTAAGTTATCTTAAAATCTGAATCTTCCAGCACAACAGCTGTGCTTAAATACCCTATATCCTCCATAAAGAGTTGATAAGAAGAAAGAGAATCTGTATGGTTATGGCTATTATACACACTTCTTTGTGGTTACCAGTATTTTACTGTGACACATCCATGGGGGGGGTGGGGGGGGGGTAGAAGCAAAACGAAAACAAGTATGAATGCTTCAACATTAGATGTTGGCATCAATACAGATTACACACAAGCTGTGCAATAAAATATTTTTATTGTGCTTGTATTTGAAGAATTAATCTTAGATTTTTTTTGTAGTCTTTTTCATTTGAGGCTGCACAATCATTTTAAGTGTAAAGACAACAGAATATATAAATGAATGAAATGGTGGCCCTGTTTGCCATGGGATCAAATATCCTGTTGAATTTTGGGGAGTTATTGGCTGCTATCTGTATCATAAAACGCTTGTGGTTGTGATGCCATAACAGCATCACGACCTGGACCTTTTATAACGGCATCACCGCCAAACGAGCAACAGCTCTCGGGGAGGGTGGGACAGGGCGCCGGCAGCATCCATGGAACGTGCAAGGCATCATGGGGCGCTGACATGGCCCTGATGGCAGGCTAGGCCTAGGGGACCCTACACATGCACGATTTAATTGTGCCCTGGGCCTCCAGTATATTATGATATCAGCTGAATTGTTCAGAAGCAACATGTGAGTCTCTTTTTTTAGCATGTGAGTTTTATGTACAAATCACAGCATTTAGAAATTACACATCTTTTCCTTTCCTCTCAAAATGAATTCAGAATTTACAATTGAAATTTCATCTTCTTAAGCTCCTAATTATTAAAAAAAAATTACCTAATATGGATTAAAAGATTAAATGAAATAAGGATTATAAAAGAATGCTAATAAATTACAAAACCCATATGGTATCAAGCTTCTGATATTATAAAGCCTTAAAATATTTTAGTGAAAAATTAATTACCTGGAAATGAAGGCACTTTATTACCTTGAACTGCTTATTTATCTGTATAGAATTCATCTAAAGTACCATAAAAATATTATTTATCCTTTTATAGATGTATCCTGCTTCTGTGTCTTTCTAAAGCTTCTTATGTAATATAGTAAGTCAAACGTTTTTAACTTATCAGAAAATAGCATTATATAACATAATCAATGAACAATACAGAAATAACACTCGAGTAACAAAAGTGATGTGACAGTGGTGAAACTGTTAGTCTAAGTATTACAATCATTTGAGATTACAATGTGAACTTGTAAGGCTTTTTTTATTGAACGATTTTGGACAGTTTTTATTTTTTAAATTTTCTTTTCATTGGTACTATCCAATATAAAGGTAATCAAAACTAGTAAGCCAGCCTGCCATAATTTGATTTTGTTTTATTTGAGGTTATTTTAAGGTAACCTTAAAATATTAAGAAATCAGTTCTGTTTCTTCCATGCTCAACACAGCCATGCCTGCTGAACCATCAAATTGAAATTAGTATCACGGATATGCTGCTGTGTATAGATGTTTTCTCTTCAGAAAATTACCAGTTCATTTATATAATGGATTTGATTCAACAGAAAAGCAACAGATTACTTTTTTCAAAAGTTAGCTTTTTTTCTCAAGGGAAAGCTTACATCTTCCTAACACTTATAAGGAGAGGCTAGCTTTCCTCCAACAATATTTTTCAACAGAAGGACCTTTCAAAGTGAACAAACTTTACTTTCTTTTTTGTTTGGGAGCGGTTCATTTAAGAAAAAAAAAACATTTTTTTCTATAATTTTACTTACCTTTAATTTTTTCTCTGTGGTAACCATTCTTTCCATCACTAGTTTAAGAAGTCTTATTAAATATAAAAGCTGCTTCTTAGAAGCAGTTATTACTTCGGAAAGAAGTCAAGTTTATTAGAGATCATTCTTCTCTAACCAAGAACAGGCTAAAGATAAATTCCATGCCAATTCTTACTTTTGTTTCTTTTTATAATAAGATATATTAACCCAAAGGTGTGTTATGTCATGGCATGAACAATCGCAAATGTACATCTATTGAGTATTCTGTGATACTGAGTAACTGAGTTTTCTCAAATTTCTGTGATGCAAAATATTTTCCTTAGAAGGTTTTGTTTAATGTTAGATTGTTGTTCTAAAAGATGTTGGTCCTAGTGGTTTTAAAAAAAACTGGGAAAACAAATATATGCATGTATTACAAGTATAGAAATGGTGAATTGTAACCTTACCATATAGTACTGAATCTATTTTCAAAAATGTTTTGCTGTTGAAATATATTATATGAAATTGCTGCCATACTGTAATTGAGTACTTCTTCCTACATGACCCTGTTATCACTATTCCAGAATTAGAAGGTGGGCAGACACATGATTGACTCTTGTGTCTGCATGGATGCTTCAGGATATATTCTTCTCTTGGCGACTAAAAATATATTTTCCTTGGCAACAGCGCATTGAGATCTGAATATACCTGTACCTATCTATTCTTATTGCACGTTTCTTATACAGTAATCTTCTAACATGCCAAAATTGGCTCAGGCCCCAACTTAAAATTGAGGGTTTGTTACATGCTTTCTAACAGAAAGGTTTTCAGTGATATTCATTATGCGTTTGTACTATGAAAATAGTGAAACTCCCTTTAAAGCTTCACATATGCTAAATTTAAATTAATATTTTTTTCTTTAGCTCACAATTTACCCTAAATCCAGAGAGACTATCAACCCTTTTCACTGTTGTCCAATCCAGCATAAGGAACAGCCCTATAACACTACAAAAACAGTTGAGGAATGTCTCTTATGTTACACTTCAGAATAAAGACACTGAGCGGAAGAAATGAAGTTCAACACGAATGCAAGGCTTCTGTACTTGACATTCCTCCACGGAAGGGAAGACAAGTGTCAACACCATTGGCATCCTTTCCAAACTGACCTTACGTGGAACACCTTCCACCACGCGGGAGCACTGCTTGACTCTCATCAGGTTTTTGCTTTGTTTTGTTTTGTTTTTTAATTTATCAAGTATTTCGGTTAAAAAAGAAAATCTGTCAACATTGCGGTAGACAGACATACATTTGAAAATACTTTCTTAAGAGATCATGTAACCATGTAACTCTGAATTTAAAAATTGAGGAGGAGTGATCATTTCATTCCCCTGCCTCTCATAAGAAACATGTTTTTAAATCTGTAACTGCTTTAGTGTTAACAGGGTGTACAAAGTGTTTTTTCGTCCTGTACTGTGCTGAAAAGGTTCTCATCGATTGGTGATTGTACTGTACTATATGAAAGCAAATCATAAATTGCCTTGTATTGTTTATAATGGACCAGACCACGTACTTCTTTGTGTTTTCATGTCCCAAGTGTTTCAGTGATGCATGTTAACAGTTAGGTCCTAAAATTCTGTGGTGCTAATTCTTCCATATCCAATGGTGCTTTTGTGGATGCTAACTGCACACATGCTGAACAAAGCTTGAAGTTTAAAACTTTCTTCCCTTCCTCTGTTTATATGAAGTAAAATAAAATAACTTGAATATGTCTCAAAGTATCACTGACAATCTAATAAAGTGGTTTATATGTGTGTGATATTACTTGGGATTCTTGTTTCTTTTTCAGAAAGCAGATTCGTTCCACGGGGCCCTCGTATCAATCAAAATTTGATCTTACTGTGTATTTATTTTGTTATTTCATTTGTGCCCCCAAATGTGTGGTATCTTTGAGAATTTAAATTCAGTTGGCCTGGCTTCTAAATTCACGATTTGATCAGATCTATAAAAACTATGCCTCTCAGACCTGAAAAAGTTGAGAAGACCAAAACAATATGCCCTTTGAGAGCACTTGTTTATTTTAGCACTGTAGTAATAATGTTTTATCACCTGGCTGAGCCATGAGATAACATTTGCCAAGTATGCCTTCAAACTTTTATTGCAATTCAAATGGCAATGCAAAGGTTATTCGTGTATGCTGACATCTAAATTTCCACTCCACCTATATGAAAATAAGGACAAAAAATAAAATAAAATCGGAACTTTCCAGGGTCAACTGATATCATAGGCCAGAATGGCAATAACCTATGCAGTGGTCTTACTGCATTTTTAATCTCAGCACCTACACTAAGAACCACACAGCATTGGAACAAGTGAAACTGCTATCCTCATGGAGACACAACAGTGTTTCTCCAAAACCAGAGATAAATTCGATCTGAAGGCAGTATGCAAATTTTCATTCTGACCTTGGTATTTTGCCTAAACCATGAGTGACCTTCAATTTGAAAAGAAAGGATCAAAGCAAATCTGTTAAAGCTCCTCAAGCAACAATCATTGATCCCAAGTAGATGATCAAACTTATCAGTCTAACCTAGTGGGTCCAACAACTGAAAGTCATTCTCATTCTGCTATGGATCTTTATTATGTGAAGAGTGTAAGGTACAGCAATTTTGTCTCAGATAGTTATTAAATCGTATCTAACTCCAAACATTGGAATGAAGTTTGGAGAATAGAGGCAATATGAACACGGGGCATGCATCTCCAGGACTACCTTGAACAAATGAAGTTTTTACTAAATCACAGCCTCACGCCAGATATTTGTACTGAACATTTTTAAAATATATTTTATTGATATTTTACAAAGATGAAGGGAGAGAAATAGAGAGTTAGAAATATCGATGAGAGAGAAAAATCGATCAGCTGTCTCTTGCACACCTCCTATTTGGGATGTGCCTGCAACCAAGGTGCATGCCCTTCACGAAATCAAACCTGGGACCCTTCAGTCCACAGGCTGACGTTCTATCCACTGAGCTAAACTGATTAGGGCTGTAGTGAACATTTTTGCAAGTGATTTTACAGCATTCCATCTTATAAAACTGGCAAACAACTAATGTGCTACAAAATAATTCAATGTTTTCTTTAATCAAAAAAAGACCTATATTACTAGAAAGTAGGTCTAGGAATACTTTAGAGTATCTTCATTTTTGTGGTAATATTTTGATGTTAATCAAAAGAAAAATTAATTCAAATTTTATGAAAAGATGAGAGAATGAATAAATTGTTTTTTGGGGTAATGTGCAAATTAATCTACATGAAAAAAAATCTCTAAGTTTTATCCCCACACATACCAGATATATGTGTTATTGTTCATCATAATATTTGTCCCACCTAAAAATTATTTTCACAATCATTTTTGGGGTTGTGTATGAACTTATTTTTTTAAATTATCAATCTTAAATAAAATGAGTACATTTTGTAAGTTGATTCTTTTAGGAAAAGTACATAATCTCTCTCTCTAAGTGAAACCATTATTTAAGCTTTTCTAGAGTTATAAGATTATATTTGTTGTTATTGTTTTATTAACCATATTTTGATAAGTTGTGTCTTCTGTTTCTAAAATAAGAATTTCCCTTGGGAATCATAAACTCAAGGATTTAATCTATAAACCCTTGAATGAAAGCACTTCCAATAAAGATCCAGATGTTCTCCATTGAAGAAGGGTTTTTTTAAAATAAATTTCATGAACATTAAAAGTTTAACCCTTATTCATCTTAAGAAACTAATTTGTCTTATCAGAAATTGCTTTGAGTTTGAAAATAGTCAATAATCTCAACCTTATTTTTTTTTTTAAAAAAAGCTAATCTATAATCTACAGCAAGCATGTCAAACTCAAAGGCTAACATGCGACAAATAAACAAGGTTTAAGTTTATGTGGGCCGCAAAAAAACAAAAGCTTCAATTTTCATAGAAACTAAGTTTATTTTGATAGACAAGCTGAATACAAAGAACTGAAATAAATGAGTAATCATTGACATAAAATAATAGAACACTTTAATAAAATTAATATTTTTATTGAACATTAAGCAGACACTGAATAATTGCACGAATTAATAAGCGTAATGCTTATTAAAACCTATTTTTCTTGTTCTCCAAAAGTGAAATATTTCCTGTTGCACATACCAAACAAGTCAGCACAAGGCTAATGGCGTAGCAACTGGCTGCTAAAATATTTGCTGATAGTATTAGTGGAGAGAAATGGTGTGCCTCTGCGTAAGGTACGTAAGGGAAATGAATGCAAACACAATTGTAGTAATCAATCATTAGCAAACGTTCTAGTTCGTTACTAATAATATATGTATATCCAGATATTGTAAAAATTAAGTTACAAAATTTTATTAAAACATTTCTTACATACCATTATAATGGCAGGGCCACAAAAATATTCGTCGTGGGCCACACGCAGTCCAGGGGCCTCGAGTTTGCTATGCTTGATTAACATCATTTCTGAGTTGACTTCATTAATTGTTGAATAGGTGCCTATTGAGTTCACACTAAGACTAACTCACTTCTCTCTCTCTCTCTCTCTTTCTCTCTCTCTCTCTCTCTCTCTCTCTCTCTCTTTCTCACACACACACACACACACACACACACACACACACACACACCACACTTTATCCTTGGAACAATGGAAAGTCTCCTTGGGAAAATAACTATAAAGTAATACAATTCACATAAAAAAATGAGTGGTGCTAGTTCATAGGAGTGAATAAATCATAAAATGCAGTGAGCAGAGCATTACACATAATCTCCCAGGTTAATCTCTTATATTCTGGGAGAGGTAGCAAAGCTTACACTTTTTCAAAGCATAATGTTTGCCTTCCTAAAAGACTTAATGAAAGAATGACTCATAAAGATAAAAAGAACTTAGAATGAAAGGGTTTACCCTCGGTTTTGTGTATTTAGAAGCTCAGTTTTGTTAGTTCATTCTGGGTAAATACACAAGAAATTCTTTTTAACGAAGTCATAAAAGAAAGTGCCTGCAGCATCAGATATCCAGTGGAGAAAATTCGTTCACAACCAAAAATAGAGTGTTACTCTTACAGAGTAGGACTGAAAGAAGACTGTGTGTAAGAAGTGGACTTTAAACTTTTCTTTGTACTTTTAAAATCATTTAATGACAAGCCTGTGTAATTTTTATAATTTTAGAAATGAGTTTTACAGGAAGGAAGTAAATGCTAGATAGGAAAGAATACCTATAATCAACTGATCAGCACATTCTCTTTCTAGTAGGAAAATCTATTTATAAAATTGAATTAATATCATAATGTTGTTTGGCAAGTATAAAGTCACATGGGGACTCCATGATGGGCTCCATAATACAGACCTGCTAAGGAAACAGAAATAATACATCAGCTCATCAGAGCAGTCACCCAAGTGAGAGCTGGAGACCACTAACAAGTCCTTATGCTTTGAATCTTTTCTTCTAGATACCATGTGATACTTTCAGTGTGAAAATATTATTGCTTATATAATACAATTAAACTATATATTGTTTTATATTATAATGATTTTCAGCTCCTTAATGATATACCATTTTATAATTACTACTAGTGGCCCAGTGTGGGAGTTCCCCTCAGCTCAGCCTGTACCCTCTCCAATCGGGGAGGTTGGAGATGTCTGACTGCAGGTTTAGGCCTGATCCCTGTGGGCCTAAAGTACCTGTCTCCACTGCCATAAGTCCCCACCCACCAAGTCCCCACCCACCAGGCTGCATGGGCAGCCTGGGCATTAGGTTGAGTCTCCGGTCGCTGTGGATGTGACGGGCCCAGGGTTTTTATATATTAGAATTCAGCATTCAACATTATCTTTACTTACATGGTCACTATATATTATTACATCATTATGTCAAATCATCATTATATCATTATTAGTAATACTTATTAATCATTAACCATAATTATCATTAATCATTACTATCTTATGAATATCATTCATCATTAACAACAGCTTCAAATACAATACCCCTCTCACCATGACCTTCTCAATAGAGATTTTG